GTGGCGGCCATATTGGATTTCTGATCGACCCGAAAAATAACAACACTTTGTCAGGACTATGAGGCGATCATTCCTACTAACTTTCAGTTCAATCGGTCCAGCAGAACTTGACTTTAAGTTTGAAATGTAAAATGTTAACGGACGATGGACGACGGACGACGGACGACGGACGACGACGGACGAAAACGGATAGCAATAGGTCACTTGAGCTAAAGCTCAGGTGACCTAAAAACCCACCAATAACTAATATTAAATCAGTATTAACAAATAAACATCAGCTGTCTCAGTATACCACTGATATTAATAAAACAATGTCGTCCGACGTAATGTATCAAAACAGAGACACCTACCCAAAATTTTGGCACGGAAAATGTATACAACAATTTTATTTCTTAAAAAAAAAAAAAAATCTTGTCAAGAAACAAAATAAGTAATGGACCTAGTAAAATACTTTACAAGCTTCAAACTCTGGTCCTGAAGAAACTTCAACAACAAAGTTGTGGTATAACCTTGTACATATGGGCTCAATGACACAACAGAAAATAGTGTGTATACGTTCAAGTCATCTGTAGTTACACTAGCTATTTACCATATAGCATTCAACATTTTTTTTAAATTTTGAATTAAAATAAAAACTTAATTCTTTTCCAATTGCACGATTCAGATGACATAGCAACATTGTTTGTGATTTCCAAAGTAATTTTGTCCTACATTCTTACTTTGTTTTGTTCCCAAGAATGGAACGTTTTTCTCGCGAGACAAGTAATCCTCTTATCATAAATTATGAATTTATGAACCTACAGATTTATAGACAGGCTATACTACAATGTCCACAAATGTCTACAGGTATTGGCTGCTTTCGTGTATCTAGTTGAAACGGTACAGATAGCACAGAAATAAATCTCTTGGATTGAAAGTGTGCCAATGTAAGAAACAAAATAAACAGTTTCTAAGTTTTCTGTTAAACTCAAACACCGACAGGTCTGCAAGGGCCCCGCCATGTGCCTGACTGACCCCCATCCCCCGTCTATTTTTACTAACAGTAACCTTGACCATATCACCATGTCAAATTAATAAAAAAAGATTAGACATTTGAATTCTGAGTTAAAGACTGTATCCCCAATCGTCTATTTCTAGTACCAGTGACCTTGACCTTGACCTCAGATCATTTTAAACACCTATTGCCTGTCTACATTTCACAGTGTATCACAATGTCAAATTTCAGAGTCGTTTGGTTTCTGAGATAATCTCCGGAAACGGCAACGAAAAATAGCAACAAAGTAATAATTCTATAAATTCTATTTGCTTGTTTCTTCCATGTACATTTACTAAATAAATATAAGTAACATGACCTTGTTTTATATATATAAACCAAACTTTGTGATATTCAGATTTTTAGTTTTGCAAGGCACAACTAGATCCCTTGATATGCATCTGTGAAACTTTTTCAAGGGTCAGCTTTAGTTCCAATGTCAGCCTGTTGTTTTCTTTTAGGTTCAACCATTTGAAATGGTTAAACTGGATACACAGTGTAAGACAATTAAGGAAAGATAATCACAAATGCAGTGTCCATTTTGACACATACTTAATACATGTACTTACGAAGTTCAACATCCAAATTTTAATACACGCATACCAAAAATAATTACATATAGTTAGATTGCACATGTTCATAAATAAATCAACATGGCTGACAACATCACAATATAACTGCATTGTCCCAGGGCTCTCGGTAGTCTCGGATTACTGCAATTCAAGTTTCGCTAATTTTTCCTCTATGTGAAAGACAATTTCATCATGCCAGTAAATATAAGTACATATTTTACTGTACCTAGTATATCAACTTTATAAGGCAAAAGTAAAAACTGGGGCAACATTTAATGTAGAAGTGAAGGGTGAATATTTTCCTGTGCAAGGTCTTCTTGTATAAAATGTAAATTTCCCGAGTATCATGTTAATTCTATGAGGAAGTGTCCTTTATCATGTTTAAATACATGTCTGACAAAACTTGACTATCAAGACTACTCAAACATATATATTGCCTGAAAAAGTGCTTTTTCCTTGAGGATTGATTTTGAAGCTACAATGTATTATAATCCTATTTTATTTTATTTTTTTATTGATAACTGTTTTCAATTCCAGAAGTAACTTTTGAAATGTCTTTAGGACTTCTGAATACACAAAAAGAAAGCAGACATAATGCAGGCCAAAGGTACTATACTCCCTGAAGCAATACTAAACCAGCGATGCTGTCAAAGGAGATGATATTTTTGTATTCAGTGTATCTGTTAACAAATTATATTGAAGTACAAAAATGACTTGAGTATTATTTTTCTCAAACTCACAAAAAAAAAAGTAAATGATTTTTTTATCAATTCTGTCTTCGAATTGTGACAAAGTATTATGCCTGTATAAGAACATCGGTGGTACCCACTTAGGAGTAAAGTAGGATTGTTTTTAGGTAGTAGTACGGTAGTACCCACTTACAAGTAAAGTAGGATGGTTTTTAGGTAGTAGTACGGTAGTACCCACTTACGAGTAAAGGACGATTGTTTTTAGGTAGTAGTATGGTAGTACCCACTTACAAGTTAAGTACGATTGTTTTTAGGTAGTAGTACGGTAGTACCCACTTAGGAGTAAAGTAGGATTGTTTTTAGGTAGTAGTATGGTAGTACCCAATTACAAGTTAAGTAGGATTATTTTCAGGCAGTAGTACGGTAGTACCCAATTACAAGTTAAGTACGATTGTTTTTCAGGTAGTAGTATGATAGTACCCACTTACGAGTAAAGTAGGATTGTTTTTAGGTAGTAGTATGGTAGTACCCACTTACGAGTAAAGTAGGATTGTTTTTAGGTAGTAGTATGGTAGTACCCACTTACGAGTAAAGTAGGATTGTTTTTAGGTAGTAGTACGGTAGTACCCAATTACAAGTAAAGTACGATTGTTTTTAGGTAGTAGTACGGTAGTACCCACTTAAAAGTAAAGTACGATTGTTTTTAGGTAGTAGTATGGTAGTACCCACTTACGAGTTAAGTACGATTGTTTTTTAGGTAGTAGTACGGTAGTACCCACTTACGAGTTAAGTACTATTTTTTTTCAGGCATTAGTATGGTAGCACCCTGTTGTCAAGGTAAACTGCTGTCACTGTAGCGCAATGACAAAATAGCACCTACAAAAACAGCCAATCAATAGTCTAGATTTTATCATGTGATGTACTTAATGATAATGAGATTATGTATGGAGATGTCTGGTCCTAGAAATATAGTATTATAATGTGTGGAGATGTATGATGATTGTTGACACATAATATTATGATGTGTCAAGATGTCAAATGATTGGTCCATGAAAAACAAGAGGCCCAAGGGCCTTATCGGTCACCTGAGTTATATCATAGGTACTGGTAGCTTTATTTTATTGTTTAGATGTGATGTGGAAATCAGCACGTAAACTACGTGAAATACAATACTTGTCATGTCAACAAAGGATTTTTTTTTTTTTTAATTGGTAAATTTTCCCTTTGGGGCCCCAAGGAATCCCAATTTTACAATGTAATACCCTCATCCACCAAAGATGATTCTGACCAAGTTTGAATAATTTTCTACAGAAAATTGTCAAAATATACACAAAAGTGTTATATCCCTATTTAACCTGGCCCCAGGGGTTGGGGTAGGAATCCCAATTTTACAATTGTGTAGCCTCATCTACAAAGGATGATTCTGGCCAAGTTTGAAAAAATTCCATCTGCTGGTTCTTGAGAAGAAGTTGAAAATGTAAAAAGTTTACGCACGACGGACGACGACGGACAGAAAGCGATCAGAATAGGTCACTTGAGCAAAGCTCAGGTGACCAAATGATATTATGGGTGTAGATGTCAAATGATTGGTCCGTGAAAAATGATATTACGATGTGTGTAGATGCCAAATGATTGGTCGATGAAAAATAATTTTATAATGCATGGAGATATACGATGATTGGTCCATGAAAAATGATATTATAATGCATGAATTTATACGATGATTGGTCCATGAAAAATGATATTATGATGCATGAATTTATACGATGATTGGTCCATGAAAAATGATATAATAATGTATGAATTTATATGATGATTCGTCCATGAAAAGTCATTATAATGTGTAGAGATGTCAAATGATTTGTCCATGAAAGAAAGTCTGTTCAAACAAACATCAGCAGAATTTGAGTGTATGGACTTTGGCCATAACTGAGATTTACAGGATCATAACAGATGTATGACCTTTTGGATGACTTTGTCATTCAAATCATGCATGTCCATGACCGAGGGATGATGTAGTCCAAAAAGGTATCCTGAAACATACAAAATAATGCAGGACTCAGTTAGCACTAAACATTTCTGTTAACTTTTATAATGTTTGGTAATAAAACACACTTCATATATATTATATATAACAGCAAATGTTTCATATGTTAGAGCAACTATTCCTCAAAATTAACCCAAACAACCGTGTCCCTGTATAACCTTTTGTGATTACGCTAGGTGTTGATCCTGGTGTACCACTCCCTACTATAGAGACACATGAACACACGGTTACCTATATACTTACTGTACTGACGGGACAGTTGATCCTGGTGTACCACTCCATCCTATAGAGACACATGAACACACTGTTACCTATATACTTACTCTATTGATGGGACAGTTAATCCTGGTGTACCACTCCATCCTATAGAGACACATGAACACACTGTTACCTATATACTTACTGTATTGACGGGACAGTTGATCCTGGTGTACCACTCCATACTATATAGACACATGAACACACTGTTACCTATAAACTTACTCTATTGATGGGACAGTTGATCCTGGTGTACCACTCCATCCTATAGAGACACATGAACACACTGTTACCTATAAACTTACTGTATTGATGGGACAGTTGATCCTGGTGTACCACTCCATCCTATAGAGACACATGAACACACTGTTACCTATAAACTTACTGTATTGATGGGACAGTTGATCCTGGTGTACCACTCCATCCTATAGAGACACATGAACACACTGTTACCTATAAACTTACTGTATTGATGGGACAGTTGATCCTGGTGTACCACTCCATCCTATAGAGACACATGAACACACTGTTACCTATAAACTTACTGTATTGATGGGACAGTTGATCCTGGTGTACCACTCCATCCTATAGAGACACATGAACACACTGTTACCTATAAACTTACTGTATTGATGGGACAGTTGATCCTGGTGTACCACTCCATCCTATAGAGACACATGAACACACTGTTACCTATAAACTTACTGTATTGATGGGACAGTTGATCCTGGTGTACCACTCCATCCTATAGAGACACATGAACACACTGTTACCTATAAACTTACTGTATTGATGGGACAGTTGATCCTGGTGTACCACTCCATCCTATAGAGACACATGAACACACTGTTACCTATAAACTTACTGTACTGATGGGACAGTTGATCCTGGTGTACCACTCCATACTATAGAGACACATGAACACACTGTTACCTATAAACTTACTCTATTGATGGGACAGTTGATCCTGGTGTACCACTCCATCCTATAGAGACACATGAACACACTGTTACCTATATACTTACTGTATTGACGGGACAGTTGATCCTGGCGTACCACTCCATACTATAGAGACACATTAGCAGACCATTTCCTATAAACAGGGCCACCCACAGAAATACATTCCAGCTGCGAGAGACTCCTTTGTCCGTCACAAAGATGAAAGTAACTGAAAAATAATAACACATTATCATTGAATGATTCATTGTTGAAATAGCCAAAATAAGAACTCGAAAGTTTAAACAAATTTACTTGATCTCTCTTCAAATTCTTTCTTTCAAATTTATGTAATAATTTTGAAATACCTTGTTGATCTTATCAACTTATTAACTTGATACTGAATAAAACAAGAGGCCCAAGGGCCTTAGCGGTCACCTGAGTTATATCATAGGTACTGGTAGCTTTATTTTATTGTTTAGATGTCCAGTGGAAATCAGCATTTAAACTAAGTGAAATACAATACTTGTCATGTCATCAATGGATAAGAATTTGAAAATATTGATAAATGTTCCCTTTGGGGCCCCACCCTAGCCCCTGGGGATGGGGCAGGAATACCAATTTTACAAAGTAATACTCTCATTCACCAAAGATGATTCTGACTATGTTTGAGTAATTTTCTGCTGAAAATGGATAAAATATATACCAAAAAGTGTTATTTCCCTATATAAACTATAGTAAACTTTACCCCCTCCCTAAGGGAGAACGGATAGCTCGGGGGTCCTGAAATTTACAATTTAAGTAAAGCCCCTGATGATCTTTCTTTCCACGTAGAGAAAATCACTGTAGTACCTCTGAGTCTGGAGAAGAAGATTTTTGAAATATTGATTAATTTTCCCTTTGGGGCCCCGCCCTGGCCCCAGGGGTCGGGGTAGGAATCTCAATTTTACAATTTGAAACCATCTACCTCCAAGGATAATTCTCACCAAGTAAAAATAATTTCCTACAGAAAGTTGTCAAAATATACCCAAAAGTGTTATTTCCCTATATAAACTATAGTAAACTTTACCCCCTCCCCAAGGGAGAACGGATAGCTCGGGGGTCCTGAAATTTACAATTTAAGTAAAGCCCCTGATGATCTTTCTTTCCACGTAGAGAAAATCACTGTAGTACCTCTGAGTCTGGAGAAGAAGATTTTTGAAATATTGATTAATTTTCCCTTTGGGGCCCCGCCCTGGCCCCAGGGGTCGGGGTAGGAATCTCAATTTTACAATTTGAAACCATCTACCTCCAAGGATAATTCTCACCAAGTAAAAATAATTTCCTACAGAAAGTTGTCAAAATATACCCAAAAGTGTTATTTCCCTATATAAACTATAGTAAACTTTACCCCCTCCCCAAGGGAGAACGGATAGCTCGGGGGTCCTGAAATTTACAATTTAAGTAAAGCCCCTGATGATCTTTCTTTCCACGTAGAGAAAATCACTGTAGTACCTCTGAGTCTGGAGAAGAAGATTTTTGAAATATTGATTAATTTTCCCTTTGGGGCCCCGCCCTGGCCCCAGGGGTTGGGGTAGGAATCCCAATTTTACAATTTTGAAGCCTCATCTACCAAGGATGATTCTGACCAAGTTTGAAAAAAATCCATCCACTGGTTCTTGAGAAGAAGTTGAAAATGTAAAAGTTTACGCACGACGCACGACGGACGACGGACGACGACGGACGAAAAGCGATTAGAATAGGTCACTTGAGCAAAGCTCAGGTGACCTAAAAAAACGAAAATCTATTGATCAGGTTTATGACCTTGGACTTTGACCATGTGAACTCAAAGGCGATTCCAGGTATTCCTGTATCATATTCCATACACAACCAGTTTATGTATTTTGAGTAATAATTATAACTTTGTAGGAAGTCAAATCTATGTGCTTAAATGAAAGCATAACGAACAAAATAAAGATAAACATTGTTGGTGTACACTTACAGCCGGCCCCCATAAACATGACAAACAGGACTGGGTAGAAAAAGCTGAAGCAGACAGTGAGAATGTACTCGTGTACCACGGCTGAGATCAGGAAGACCAGGGCCATCGCACCAGCACGGTTCCGTGGACCCAGCAACTAGGAATTATCAAAAGACAATAACTGATTAAAAGTTGAAGGTTAATCTGAAAAACCCTGATGTTTTAAGAAAAGAGAGATGATATCCTACTTAATACTGTTTCATTTACCAGTACAACAATAAATGTTAAACAAAATTGTAATCGGACACTTTCATAGGTCCACTGATTTCCATCATTTAAATTACTAATTTGTAGCAAGGAATTATCACCACAGACTAACTTTTCCTCCTTTCTCCTCTCTAAAAATCATTCTGACAGTAAATGTAAGTACATAGTTTACTTTACCTAATGATTCGATTGTGATGGGTAAAATTGACATTGTAAATGGAAGAATGTTTTACTGACTTGAGTAACAAGGCGATGTATTGCAAGGCAATCCATAGTCCCCCACCAGTTATGTTTTCTAAATTTAACAAACAGTGCACTTACAGTGTATGTAAGGATGTAACTACTGTTCAAAGCATAGGTCACAGTGACCTTATTCTTGCACTCTGCACTCCGCCATCCCAAGATGTTCTAATACACCAAATCCGGTTACTCCAGGAGAAATAGTATAGAAAATATGTCCTGGACAAACTTTAAAAAAAGTTAAGGTCAAAGGTCAAAGCATAGGTCATAGTGACCTACTTCTTGCACTTGCCATCCCAAGATGTCCTTGTATACCAAATCTAGTTACTTTAGGTGAAATAGTATAGAAGATATGCCCCAGACAGACTTCTTTGACGTACGGACAGAGTGCAACCTTATAGTCCTCTGGGAACCGGTGGGTGACTAAAAATTTAACTGTGAAGGATAATTAGTGAAGGGTCAAGTTAACATATGGTAAATATGGATGTTTGTTAGTGTTATACGTCCTATTGACAGTTATGGTCATTTAAGTTTGGTTTGTTAGTGTTTTACGTCCTATTAACAGCTATGGTCATTTAAGTTAGGCTTGTTTGTGTTGTATGTCCTATCGACAGCTATGGTCATTTAAGTTAGGCTTGTTTGTGTTTTCCGTCCTATTGACAGCTATGGTGATTTAAGTTAGGTTTGTTAGTGTTTTACGTCCTATTTACAGCTATGGTCATTTAAGTTAGGCTTGTTTGTGTTTCACGTCCTATTGACAGCTATGGTCATTCAAGTTTGGTTTGTTTGTGTTGTACATCCTATTGACAGCTATGGTCATTTTAGTTAGGTTTGTTTGTGTTATATGTCCTATTGACAGCTATGGTACTGTAAGTTAGGTTTGTTTGTGTTTTACGTCCTATTGACAGCTCTGGTCATTTAAGTTTGGTTTGGTTGTGTTGTACATCCTATTGACAGCTATGATCATTTAAGTTTGGTTTGTTAGTGTTGTATGTCCTATTGACAGCTATGGGCATTTAAGTTTGGTTTGTTAGTGTTGTACTTCCTATTAACAGCTATGGTGATTTAAGTTAGGTTTGTTAGTGTTTTACGTCCTATTTACAGCTATGGTAATGTAAGTTTGGTTTGTTTGTGTTGTACATCCTATTGACAGCTATGGTCATTTAGGTTTGGTTTGTTAGTGTTGTACTTCCTATTAACAGCTATGGTATTTTAAGTTAGGTTTGTTTGTGTTATATGTCCTATTGACAGCTATGTTGTGTTGTATGTCCTATTGACAGCTATGTTGTGTTGTATGTCCTATTGACAGCTATGTTGTGTTGTATGTCCTATTTACAGCTATGGTAATGTAAGTTTGGTTTGTTTGTGTTGTACATCCTATTGACAGCTATGGTCATTTAGGTTTGGTTTGTTAGTGTTGCACGTCCTATTAACAGCTATGGGGATTTAGGTTTGGTTTGTTAGTGTTGTACTTCCTATTAACAGCTATGGTCATTTAAGTTTGGTTTTTTAGTGTTGTATGTCCTATTGACAGCTATGGTACTGTAAGTTAGGTTTGTTTGTGTTATATGTCCTATTGACAGCTATGGTCATTTAAGTTAGGCTTGTTTGTGTTTTACGTCCTATTGACAGCTATGGTCATTTAAGTTTGGTTTGTTAGTGTTGTACGTCCTATTAACAGCTATGGTCATTTAAGTTTGGTTTGTTTGTGTTGTATGTCCTATTGACAGCTATGGTCATTTAAGTTTGGTTTGTTAGTGTTGTACGTCCTATTGACAGCTATGGTCATTTAAGTTAGGTTTGTTTGTGTTGTACGTCCTATTGACAGCTATGGTCATTTAAGTTAGGTTTGTTTGTGTTTTACGTCCTATTGACAGCTATGGTCATTTAAGTTAGGTTTGTTAGTGTTTTACGTCCTATTGACAGATATGGTCATTTAAGTTTGGTTTGTTAGTGTTGTACGTCCTATTAACAGCTATGGTCATTTAAGTTAGGTTTGTTAGTGTTGTACATCCTATTAACAGCTATGGTGATTTAAGTTAGGTTTGTTTGTGTTGTATGTCCTATTGACAGCTATGGTCATTTAAGTTTGGTTTGTTTGTGTTGTATGTCCTATTGACAGCTATGGTCATTTAAGTTAGGTTTGTTTGTGTTGTACGTCCTATTGACAGCTATGGTCATTTAAGTTAGGTTTGTTTGTGTTGTACGTCCTATTGACAGCTATGGTCATTTAAGTTAGGTTTGTTTGTGTTGTACGTCCTATTGACAGCTATGGTCATTTAAGTTAGGTTTGTTTGTGTTGTACGTCCTATTGACAGCTATGGTCATTTAAGTTAGGTTTGTTTGTGTTGTACGTCCTATTGACAGCTATGGTCATTTAAGTTAGGTTTGTTTGTGTTGTACGTCCTATTGACAGCTATGGTCATTTAAGTTAGGTTTGTTTGTGTTGTACGTCCTATTGACAGCTATGGTCATTTAAGTTAGGTTTGTTTGTGTTGTACGTCCTATTGACAGCTATGGTCATTTAAGTTAGGTTTGTTTGTGTTGTACGTCCTATTGACAGCTATGGTCATTTAAGTTAGGTTTGTTTGTGTTGTACGTCCTATTGACAGCTATGGTCATTTAAGTTAGGTTTGTTTGTGTTGTACGTCCTATTGACAGCTATGGTCATTTAAGTTAGGTTTGTTTGTGTTGTACGTCCTATTGACAGCTATGGTCATTTAAGTTAGGTTTGTTTGTGTTGTACGTCCTATTGACAGCTATGGTCATTTAAGTTAGGTTTGTTTGTGTTGTACGTCCTATTGACAGCTATGGTCATTTAAGTTAGGTTTGTTTGTGTTGTACGTCCTATTGACAGCTATGGTCATTTAAGTTAGGTTTGTTTGTGTTGTACGTCCTATTGACAGCTATGGTCATTTAAGTTAGGTTTGTTTGTGTTGTACGTCCTATTGACAGCTATGGTCATTTAAGTTAGGTTTGTTTGTGTTGTACGTCCTATTGACAGCTATGGTCATTTAAGTTAGGTTTGTTTGTGTTGTACGTCCTATTGACAGCTATGGTCATTTAAGTTAGGTTTGTTTGTGTTGTACGTCCTATTGACAGCTATGGTCATTTAAGTTAGGTTTGTTTGTGTTGTACGTCCTATTGACAGCTATGGTCATTTAAGTTAGGTTTGTTTGTGTTGTACGTCCTATTGACAGCTATGGTCATTTAAGTTAGGTTTGTTTGTGTTGTACGTCCTATTGACAGCTATGGTCATTTAAGTTAGGTTTGTTTGTGTTGTACGTCCTATTGACAGCTATGGTCATTTAAGTTAGGTTTGTTTGTGTTGTACGTCCTATTGACAGCTATGGTCATTTAAGTTAGGTTTGTTTGTGTTGTACGTCCTATTGACAGCTATGGTCATTTAAGTTAGGTTTGTTTGTGTTGTACGTCCTATTGACAGCTATGGTCATTTAAGTTAGGTTTGTTTGTGTTGTACGTCCTATTGACAGCTATGGTCATTTAAGTTAGGTTTGTTTGTGTTGTACGTCCTATTGACAGCTATGGTCATTTAAGTTAGGTTTGTTTGTGTTGTACGTCCTATTGACAGCTATGGTCATTTAAGTTAGGTTTGTTTGTGTTGTACGTCCTATTGACAGCTATGGTCATTTAAGTTAGGTTTGTTTGTGTTGTACGTCCTATTGACAGCTATGGTCATTTAAGTTAGGTTTGTTTGTGTTGTACGTCCTATTGACAGCTATGGTCATTTAAGTTAGGTTTGTTTGTGTTGTACGTCCTATTGACAGCTATGGTCATTTAAGTTAGGTTTGTTTGTGTTGTACGTCCTATTGACAGCTATGGTCATTTAAGTTAGGTTTGTTTGTGTTGTACGTCCTATTGACAGCTATGGTCATTTAAGTTAGGTTTGTTTGTGTTGTACGTCCTATTGACAGCTATGGTCATTTAAGTTAGGTTTGTTTGTGTTGTACGTCCTATTGACAGCTATGGTCATTTAAGTTAGGTTTGTTTGTGTTGTATGTCCTATTGACAGCTATGGTCATTTAAGTTAGGTTTGTTTGTGTTGTACGTCCTATTAACAGCTATGGTGATTTAAGTTTGGTTTGTTAGTGTTGTACATCCTATTGACAGCTATGGTCATTTAAGTTAGGTTTGTTTGTGTTGTACGTCCTATTAACAGCTATGGTCATTTAAGTTTGGTTTGTTTGTGTGTTATGTCCTATTGACAGCTATGGTCATTTAAGGACGTGCAAGGTTTTGGTGGTAAAGGAAATAGGAAAGATCCCAGATAAAAACCACCGACCTAATTGGCCTTTACCTGGGGACTACCCCATGTAGGTCTCGAACCGCGGCCCAGTGGTGGAGGGTTAGTTGTAGCAGAATGTCAGATGCCTTAACCACTTGGCCACATGCCGGGTAAATATGGATTTACTAGTGAAGGTGGAATATTTCAGGGTGACAGGTAAACTGATCTTGTAACAGTCCAACAGTAAACAATGCCAAGGAGATAAGTAAACAATGTAAATGTTACCCTGTGGAAGACCTTATATATATAGGTATACAGTAAACAATGTGAATGTTACTCTGTGGAAGTCCTTATATATATAGGTATACAGTAAACAATGTAAATGTTACCCTGTGGAAGTCCTTATATATGTAGGTATACGGTAAACAGTGTAAATGTTACCCTGTGGAAGTCCTTATATATAGGTATACAGTAAACAATGTAAATGTTACCCTGTGGAAGTCCTTATATATAGGTATACAGTAAACAATGTAAATGTTACCCTGTGGAAGTCCTTAAAGATGTAGGTATACAGTAAACAGTGTAAATGTTACCCTGTGAAAGTCCTTATAGATGTAGGTATACAGTAAACAGTGTAAATGTTACCCTGTGGATGTCCTTATATATATAGGTATACAGTAAACAGTGTAAATGTTACCCTGTGGAAGTCCTTATAGATGTAGGTATACAGCCAGTCATGTACAACAATGTTCCAAGTTCTGTAGTAGTTGGCAAACGTTGTTGAGTTCCACCAATCCTAGAAGTGAAAAAAACATATCATAAAGTAACACCACTGCATATGCATGTGTACAGTATGACTGACTAGAGATCTTATCAGGCAATATACATGTCACAGAGGTCTTTTGTTTTCTCCAATGCCTCTGCCAGAGTCGAACCCGGGACCTCTGGGTTACTAGTCTTACACTCTACATAATGAGCTAAAAAGAAATTCTCTCTAGCTGAATCAGTAGGCAACGGCTAGTATTTTACCAGGGTGACATGCATGCATACTTGGTTACTTTGTACTAATTTTGACTTACAAGTGAAGTTAAAGATGATCTCAATAAAGTGCACTTATACCACTTCTATTGGTGACGATGGTACCATATCCTTGAATTCATCAAATAATCTCAACTATTTAAAATTTACAGACCCGGCAAAATTTCACTTCCTGTGCCGTCAAATTTGATGTGAAGCATGTTTGAATAAGTTTTAATACATTATCAATATTTTTCAAAGATCCATGATACTATCAATTTGTTAAGTGGTTTGATGTTGATCCATTAAAGTCATTACGTACGCCATATTTTTCCTACCTTATAGAACATCCGGTCTCCAAACCTGAGCATCTCAGCAAATGCATTGAGCCAAGAATGCAAGATGGCAAAGAATGCTGTGATGAAAAGTAGTAAGTATAATGATGTGAGCTGATGTAACACTCAGGATAATTTATAGTACTTTAGAGATTCACAGGCATATTTATACACATTTGAAACAGCAAGAGTGTAGCAGACAACTGAAATGAATATTGTTAATTGTCATTTCATAATTTTCATGATAGGTATAGAGAAAGACTTAGGTGTCACATGACTTACCAATAAATAGCACTAGAGTGCCTGGCAGCATACATCCAAATACAGACAGGAGGAGGGCCTTAGGGGTCACATGGTCTTTGTTGAAGTTGTTGAAGACAGGAACACAGAATCTCTCAAAGATGTAGTAAGTGTACAGGAGGCAAGCAAGCACCTGGGCGAAGTTTGTTACCACGTAATTCCAACGTATTGTCTTCGTCCTACATTATACAACAGAGATAAGACAATTCCTTACATTTATAAATTGTTGTTGGATACTACTTTGAGCTGTTTAAATCATATATTATACAAACTATAACATCCCAGAACAGGCTTACTAGCATTTATCACAAACATGTATTTTCTGATTGGCTCATTAGAAGCCTGACATCAGAAATTTTTAATCAAATCTATATCAATTTCAATACATCTTATTATCCAAGGCATTTCATTTTGAGATTGACTTTTCCTTTTATCATTTATAATGATACAAAATGTAATAGTCTTATTTTAAAGTTAAAAGTATATCAAATTCCTCTGTAATTATTGATTACTTAGTTACCTGGGATAGGAATCTCTGTATACTAGTGTTTGGAGCGAACAGGAAGTCAAGGTATTTTGAGAAATCTGGACAGAGGTTGGTTTACTTAGTTACCTGGGATAGAAATCTCTGTATGCTAGTGCTTGAAGCGAACAGGAAGTCAAGGTATTTAGAGAAATCTGGACAGAGGTTGGATTACTTAGTTACCTGGGATAGGAATCTCTGTAAACTAGTGTTGGAGCGAACAGGAAGTCGGGGTATTTAGAGAAATCTGGACAGAGGTTGGTTTACTTAGTTACCTGGGAAGGGAATCTCTATCTACTAGTGTTGGAGCGAACAGGAAGTCGAGGTATTTAGAGAAATCTGGACAGAGGTTGGTTTACTTGGTTACCTGGTATAGGAATCTCTGTACATAAGTGTTGGAGCGAACAGGAAGTAGAGATATTTAGAGAAATCTGGACAGAGGTTGGTTTACTTAATTACCTGGGATAGGAATCTCTGTATGCTAGTGTTTGAAGCGAACAGGAAGTCGAGGTATTTAGAGAAATCTGGACAGAGGTTGGTTTACTTAGTTACCTGGGATAGGAATCTCTGTATACTAATGTTTGGAGCAAACAGGAAGTAGAGGTATTTAGAGAAATCTGGACAGAGGTTGGTTTACTTAGTTACCTGGGATAGGAATCTCTGTCTACTAGTGTTTGGCACGAACAGGAAGTAGAGATATTTAGAGAAATCTGGAGAGAGGTTGGTTTACTTAGTTACCTGGGATAGGAATCTCTGTCTACTAGTGTTTGGCGCGAACAGGAAGTCAAGGTATTTAGAGAAATCTGGACAGAGGTTGTATTACTTAGTTACCTGGGATAGGAATCTCTGTATACTAGTGTTGGAGCAAACAGGAAGTAGAGGTATTTAGAGAAATCTGGACAGAGGTTGGTTTTCTTGTCAACATCGCCATCATCTGTAAAGTTAAGTTTATATTGTTAAGTGACATCATTAAAGCATGTAAACTTTATTTATTTTACAACAATTATGAAACTTATGTAAATCACTCTTGTTGGCCCGGATGTTTGTTTGCGAAAGGTCTTAATGTGGGAGGAAACCAGAGTACCCGGAGAAAACCCATGGTGTCGGACAGGTGACCCCAAACCTTTTCACGTCCGATCTGGGAATCGAAATTGGGTCGCCTTGGTGAAAGGCAAGTGCGCTATCCACTGCCCCACTCGACCACCCAAGCATGACCCTTTGTACAAGTGAATAAGTCCATTGTGTTCATCGTTTTGATATGTGTATCTGTACAGTAGAAATGTGTTAACAGTAACATCAAATAAAGATTGTATCTTATTACATACGTATTCAACAATTGATCTTTATATATAATCTATATTCTACAAAGAATTGCTCATCATTATGATGTATACATGTTTAATAAAGTACTTCCAAGAAAGTTTGACTGGCCTACACTGGCTCAATGGATGACAGAATAATGACATCTCATTATCACAAAATATAATTGTGCATAAATATTTCAAGGTTTGCAGATGTGCTTTGTACAGAAAGAGTAACTCTTAACAGGAATCAGTTCCAGTCACAAATTGCCAAGTTTGGGTTCCATCTAACAAGATAACAAAGACTTTGAAACTCACCTTTTTTATTACTTGCTAGTACTTTTGGAATGTTTTCCCTCACAAAAGCATGGACCTTCATAATCAATCGCACCTGAAACAGAATGGTTACCTCAATATGAAAACTGGCTTATTACTTCCCACACCATCCTCGATACTCCAGGGGTTACACTCACTTTTCCTCTCTGCACCCCTGGGATATTGTCCCCCTAGAGTATCGAGGATGTGACTCCGCGCAGACTAACCCTTCAATGTATGCAGAATAAGTTTTCAAATAAGTTTTCAATTCCTAGGCATTCAGAGTATCATAATACATGTATATTATATACTGGCTTATAATGAACCAAACACATTGTCTAGGCATTCATAGTATCATAATACATGTATATCATATGTTGGCTCACAATAGTCCACACACATTGCCCAGATCTTCATGTTACCAGAATGTATCTGAGGCTGGATTACAATGGTAAGCATTTACTGAGCATGCCTTCAATGAACCTGTTCACAGAACAGACCTGACCACTTACCTGTTCCGTAGTGATGATAACTGCTGACGCTGGAGGAATTTGGTGCTCCATGATGTAATGATTAGGTAACACTATGAACGCTATCTGGTACAGCACAAATAGGCCAAGGGCAAACATGTCTGTCTTATCTACAAATATACAGGTACTACTGGTACAGACAGACAGATACGCGGATAGACACTGGACCAACATGTCTGTCTGATCTACAAATACACAGGTAATACTGGTACAGACAGACAGATACACGGACAGACACTGGGCAAACATGTCTGTCTTACCTACAAATATACAGGTACTACTGGTACAGACAGACAGATACACGGACAGACACTGGGCAAACATGTCTGTCTTACCTACAAATATACAGGTACTACTGGTACAGACAGACAGATACACAGACAGACACTGGACCAACATGTCTGTATTATCTACAAATATACAGGTACTACTGGTACAGACAGACAGATACACGGACAGACACTGGGCAAACATGTCTGTCTTACCTACAAATATACAGGTACTACTGGTACAGACAGACAGATACACGGACAGACACTGGGCAAACATGTCTGTCTTACCTACAAATATACAGGTACTACTGGTACAGACAGACAGATACACAGACAGACACTGGGCCAACATGTCTGTCTTATCTACAAATATACAGGTAATACTGGTACAGACAGACAGATACACAGACAGACACTGGACCAACATGTCTGTCTTATCTACAAATATACAGGTACTACTGGTACAGACACACACATACATGGATAGACACTGGGCCAACATGTCTGTCTCATCTACAAATATACAGGTAATACTGGTACAGACAGACAGACACACAAACAGACACTGGGCAAGCATGTCTGTCTTAAATACACAAATATACAGGTAATACTTGTACAGACAGATGGACTGACAAGACAGGGAACAAACATGTCTGTCTTATCTACGAATATACAGGTACTACTGGTTCAGACAGACAGACACACGGACAGACACTGGACCAACATGTCTGAGTCTTAAATACACAAATATACAGGTAATACTGGTACAGACTGATGGACTGACAAGACAGGGAACCAACATGTCTGTCTCATCTACAAATATACAGGTACTACTGGTACAGACAGACAGACACACGGACAGACACTGGGCCAACATGTCTGTCTTAAATACACAAATATACAGGTAGTACTGGTACAGACAGACAGATGGACTGACAAGACAGGGAACCAACATGTCTGTCTAATCTACAAACATACAGGTACTACTGGTACAGACAGACAGATGCACGGACAGACACTGGGCCAACATGTCTGTCTTAAATACACAAATATACAGGTAGTACTGGTACAGACAGACAGATGGACTAACAAGACAGGGAACCAACATGTCTGTCTAATCTACACATATAAATATACATGTAATATTGGTAAAGATGGATGCAGGGATGAACAGATTGATAAGAAAGAGAACCCACTGGTCTGTCTTATCTACAATTACAAGATACAGACATTTCAAATTTGTTTATATACATATATATATGTACATTGACATGTAATATGGAGTTGATCTATACTTACTGACAGGGCCGGGAGTTCTGTTTGCTACCCAGTAGTAAAACGTTGGATAGACTATGACCAGTGTGCTGAGTGTCATACAGACCCACAGTTGATCTATACTTACTGACAAGGCCAGGCGTTCTGTTTGCTACCCAGCAGTAAAACGTTAGATAGACTATGACCAGTGTGCTGAGTGTCATACAGACCCACAGTAGATCTATACTTACTGACAGGGCCAGGCGTCCTGTTTGCTACCCAGTAGTAAAACGTTGGATAGACTATGACCAGTGTGCTGAGTCATATAGACCCACAGTTGATCTATACTTACTGACAGGGCCAGGCGTCCTGTTTGCTACCCAGTAGTAAAACGTTGGATAGACTATGACCAGTGTGCTGAGTGATATAGACCCACAGTTGATCTATACTTACTGACAGGGCCAGGCGTCCTGTTTGCTACCCAGTAGTAAAACGTTGGATAGACTATGACCAGTGTGCTGAGTGTCATACAGACCCACATTTGATCTATACTTACTGACAGGGCCAGGCGCCCTGTTTGCTACCCAGTAGTAAAACGTTGGATAGACTATGACCAGTGTGCTGAGTGTCATACAGACCCACATTTGATCTATACTTACTGACAGGGCCAGGCGCCCTGTTTGCTACCCAGTAGTAAAACGTTGGATAGACTATGACCAGTGTGCTGAGTGTCATACAGACCCACATTTGATCTATACTTACTGACAGGGCCAGGCGTCCTGTTTGCTACCCAGTAGTAAAACGTTGGATAGACTATGACCAGTGTGCTGAGTCATATAGACCCACAGTTGATCTATACTTACTGACAGGGCCAGGCGTCCTGTTTGCTACCCAGTAGTAAAACGTTGGATAGACTATGACCAGTGTGCTGAGTGTCATACAGACCCACATTTGATCTATACTTACTGACAGGGCCAGGCGTCCTGTTTGCTACCCAGTAGTAAAACGTTGGATAGACTATGACCAGTGTGCTGAGTGTCATACAGACCCACATTTGATCTATACTTACTGACAGGGCCAGGCGTCCTGTTTGCTACCCAGTAGTAAAACGTTGGATAGACTATGACCAGTGTGCTGAGTCATATAGACCCACAGTTGATCTATACTTACTGACAGGGCCAGGCGTCCTGTTTGCTACCCAGTAGTAAAACGTTGGATAGACTATGACCAGTGTGCTGAGTGTCATACAGACCCACATTTGATCTATACTTACTGACAGGGCCAGGCGTCCTGTTTACTACCCAGTAGTAAAACGTTGGATAGACTATGACCAGTGTGCTGAGTGTCATACAGACCCACATTTGATCTATACTTACTGACAGGGTTAGAAGTCCTGTTTGCTACCCAGCAGTAAAACGTTGGATAGACTATGACCAGTGTGCTGAGTGTCATACAGACCCACATTTGATCTATACTTACAGACAGGGTAAGAAGTCCTGTTTGCTACCCAGTAGTAAAACATTGGATAGACTATGACCAGTGTGCTGAGAGTCATACAGACCCACAGTTGATCTATACTTACAGACAGGGTTAGGAGTCCTGTTTGCTACCCAGGAGTAAAACGTTGGATAGTCTATGACAAGTGTGCTGAGAATCATACAGACCCACAGTAGATCTATACTTACTGTCAGGGTTAGAAGTCCTGTTTGCTACCCAGTAGTAAAACATTGGATAGACAATGACCAGTGTGCTGTGAGTCATACAGACCCACATTTGATCTATACTTACTGACAGGGTTAGAAGTCCTGTTTGCTACCCAGTAATAAAACGTTGGATAGACTATGACCAGTGTGCTGAGTCATATAGACCCACAGTTGATCTATACTTACTGACAGGGCCAGGCGTCCTGTTTGCTACCCAGTAGTAAAACGTTGGATAGACTATGACCAGTGTGCTGAG